ACTGCCTGCGGACGTTATCACAATTTACTATTATGACCTCTGTAATATATGGATGTCATCACAACTAACCTTTGTAGCCTACGTGGCTTACTTCTTATATAGTTCCCAAATCATGTCTCTGCGGCCTACGGACGTCATCGTAACTCCCTGTTACGGCTTATATAATCAACTACGGCATACACGACCTACATCTCACACAGTTCACAACTCATGCAGCTCCCGACTTCTGCCCCCATGACCTACAGACGTCATCACAGCTCACCACTATGGCCAACGTGGTTCACAACTTATTGTGACCTGCGTAACCAACTACAGCTGACGTTGTTCACAACTGTTACAACTCTTAACTCTAACCCCTTCGAGCTTTGGACGTCTTCACAATTCAACACTATGCCCCACAAGACATATTATGATCTTTGTGGCCCACAGTTTGTCCAGCTTTTAACTTTAACTCTCACTGCCTACGGACGTTATCACAATTCACTATTATGACATATGTGTTTCATAGCTTATGCAGCTCTCGACCCTGACCTCTGTAATATATGGATGTCATCACAACTAACCTTTATAGCCTACGTGGCTTACTTCTCATATAGTTCCCAAATCATGTCTCTGCGGCATACGTACGTCATCGTAACTCCCTGTTACGGCTTATATGATCAACTACGGCCTTCACGACCTACATCTCACACACCCCCCCAATACTCGGTCTCTATGGCCTAGTGACGTTATCACAATTCACCACTATGACCTATGTGACCAATTGCAACCTACGCGACTCACAGCTTCTCCAGTTTCCTACTACGTATTATGTGGTCAATCGATGATTTTGAGGAAACTATCTGTGACCCACAAAGTTAATTAATACCATGACTTTCAACTGTGACTCTTTCAACCTACCATCACCGAGAACTCATTCATTATAGCCAAACTATAACTATTGTCTATTAGCCACTGTTATACATTTACAATATTTATCTTCGTAACTCTATCTTCTCAAATTTGGAGAAAAGTGAAATTGTTTACTCACCATTCATAGTTAATTCTTTCAACTGGCTAGGCCCCGTGATTTTTTCTCTTTTCATGCTTTTCATGTAAAAATTAAGGTGCCCTGATACTTTATTCTTCTTTTCAATTACTTAAGTGTGTGATAGGTTTCTAGTCGTGGATCATCTCACACACATCAATGGTAAAACCCCAACTCATATTTTTTTTCATTTTCATCAAATTATCAATAGTTTGATGGTGGCACATTGGCTCGGTTGTTCAAAAAAATCACATATGTGATTAAGTTATAAATTTTAATATTTTGAGTGTTCTGTATGTAATTATCTCTTTTTATACTTAAATGTACAACCTGGCTAGGTTGAAAAAACTGATGTAGTATTTTTAAGAAGTTCAATAGTTGTTAACCCGTAATGATTCCAATTATCTTAATGCTATCAATGAAGCTAAAGCCTTTTTCTATTACGAGTCCGTTGTTAACCCGTAATGATTCCAATTATCTTAATGCCTTTTTCTATTACGAGTCCTTTTAATTCTTTTATTTTGCAATTGTCAAACAAAGATAAATATCTCGGGTTCCTTTTTTAGTTCATTGAAAACGAATAAATTTAAAATCTACAACAATGATGGAACAGTTCTAACCCCGGTGAATTTATATGTTCTTAACGGCACTTTAAATCAAAGCAATTATATAGAAATAGGCATTTGAAATAGTTCAGCACTGATTTTAAACACTAATGTTGAATCTAAATCTGTTTGGTGAACTGTGCTCAAGAAATGATGCGTTGAATCGAGGGAGTTTTAAACACTAATGTTGAATCTAAATCTGTTTGGTTGAACCGAGGGATGGTGATCGAGAGAGGGAAAGGAGAGAGAGAGAGAGAGAGAGAGAGAGAGAGAAGAGGAGGACTTACACTGATCGGGGGAAAATGGGGTGTTCTCGGGCTCTTGGCCTATTTTATTCCATAAAAGTTTAGGTTACAAGATGAGGGGTGCCCCCAAAAAGTCCCCCACACTACATCATGAAGTTCTTTTATTTCTAGAAGATATGAGGAGTAGATGATACAAAAACTACATATTTTGTTATGTTTTTAAGAGAGAAGCAAATGTCATTTGTCCTTTTTTGTTGGATCTTCTCAAGATTGATGCAGACTTTCATGTCAAAGTTGGTCAGCTGACTGTAAAGAGATGTTGAGGGAGTGAGCCTAACCAATTGATTGAAGTGAGGTCGTCCAGGAAAAGAGTCTGGCCGGCCAACTGAAGTGAGGTGACCAAGGCAGAGATTTATGATAATTATAGAGTGATTGGTGTGTTATTACAGTGTTATTGTGATGTTATTAATGTATTATTTGAGGTTACACCGCGGTGTTATTGACGTCTTATCGTGATATTATTGTGGTGTTATTAAAATATTATTTGAGGTTACACCGCGATGTTATTGGTGTCTTATTGCGGTGTTATTATGATATTATTACGGTATTATTTGAGGTTACACCATGGTGTTATTGGTGTGTCATTGTGTGTTATTACGGTATTATTTGATATAACATGCGGTGTAATTGACGTGTTATTGTGTTGTTATTGTGATGATATAATGTTATTATTTGATGTTACACCACGGTGTTATTGGTGTGTTATCGACGACAATGTTATTCGGGTAAATTTGATGTGTTATTGTGATGTTATTGCGTTATTTTTGCCACCGAAAAACTGTAAATACCACTCAATTCTTATGTATTTACATATCTAACCCTTAAACATCAATTCTTTCATACACGCCACCGACTCTATGGATGAAAAAGTTTATTTTCAATATTTTAAAATTAAAATGATGGTATTTTTTATGTGATATCAATTTTTTTTTGTGGTATAAAAGTAAAAATTAAAGTATAGGTGCATGAAAAATTCTAATCCACGGTGTTTTTGTGGTGTTTTTGCGGCGGTATTATTGTGATATTATTATGGTGTTATTTTGGTATTATTACGATGTTATTGGAGTTGTATTACGGTGGTTGTGGTGGTACTCGACTGTTGTTTTATAAGTATTATTATAGTTCTATTGTTATATTATTATTGTGTTATTGAGATGTTATTGAGGTTTGATTATTGTATTATTTGAGTGGTATTGCGGCGGCTGTGATGTCATTCGAGATTTAGTTATCAAAAAATGAGAGAAAGGTTTACATACATACCACTCAATTCATTTGTGTTTACATATCTAACCCCTAAATATCAATTTTTTTATACACGCCATCGACCCTATGGATGGAGAAGTTTATTTTCAATTTTTAAAAATTAAAATGATGGCATTTTTTTATGTGATATCAAAATTTTTGGTGGTATAAATGTTAAAAATTAAAGCGTAGGTGCTATAATCTAAATACAAGAATTGGATGGTATGTATGTAAATGCCCAAAATGAAAATATGACCACAATACAACTCAATTAAAGCCCGGTTGGGCGGGCTTTGCGTCAAGAGTCTGGACGAAATATTTTTTTCCACTTGGGCGGGCTCCATAAGCGGAAAAGGTAATTAATTAAGTGATCAATTAATTAAAGCGGAAAATGTAATTAATTAAGTGATTAATTATTAATTAATCATAAGTAATCATATTATTTTCTTTTCTTTTTATTTCTTTCTATATAAGATGAACAAACAGTTCACCTGGATTGCGTGGTGAGGGGTGTAAACGAGCCGAACACGAGCGAGCCCAATATCAGCTCGTGTTCAGTTCGTTAAAAAGTTCGTTAAAAAATATGATTGTTCGTGTTCGGCTCGTTTATATTTCAAACACAAAAAGTTTGTTCGTGTTCAGCTCGTTTATGAGGGGGTGTAAATGAGCCAAACACGAGCGAGCTCAATATCAACTCGTGTTCAATTTGTTAAAAAATATCATTGTTCATGTTCGGCTCGTTTATATTTCGAACACAAAAAGTTTTTTCGTGTTCAGCTCATTTGCTTAATAACATAACACAAGTTGTTTGTGAGCAAAGTCGTTTTAACAACTCTAGTCACGCGGCCGTTTGATAATAAGAGTTGAGGCAAAATTTAAATCTTATTATTTATATTAAAACAACTATTAAATATGATTTAATATAATTTTATTCTATTTTTTTAATTAATAATTTTACTTGATTATAAATCTTTGTAGCCTTATTGTCAATTATTTTCTTAAAAAAAAGCTACCCATCAAATATATATATATATATATATATATATTTGCGTAGCTTTGAGCCAAAATGAACCGAACACGAACGAACAAATCTTGGTTGGTGTTCGGCTCATTTATATATCGAGCATTAAAAAAATATTTGTGCTCAACTCGTTAACTTATCGAACAGATTGAACACGAGCTTCTCAACGACTTGAACAGGAGTACCGTTTAGTCCATTCCACGCTTTTCCACCATGCACATATTTGTGCTCAACTCGTTAACTTATCGAACAGATCGAACATGAGCTTCTCAACGTGTTAAACAGGAGTAAGACGTTTAGTCCATTCCACGCCTTTCCACCATGCATAAAGAACAAGACCCGAAAAGCCAAGACCGGCGTTGGAGGAGTTAGCTGGTCGTCGGTCATCAAATTTGACGATCCCGCTTAGGATCCATCCCCACGGAAGCAGCCGCTTTCAGTCCTCCAAATACGCAATTCTTACTTATCCCCAAATTTCAAGCTGACAAAAAACTAAAAAATAAATAAATAAAAAGAGTTGAAAAATCTCAAGGAGCAAGCAGTCCAACACGGCAACACCCAAACGGTCGTCGGTCATCAAATTTGACGATCCCGCTTAGGATAAAAAGAGTTGAAAAATCTCATGGAGCAAGCACTCCAACACGGCAACACCCCAACGACGGCAACACCCAAACGGACGCTGATTCTAAACTTCTACGTTAACATAAATTAATACCATTTTTTTTCTGAATAAATCTAACACGCATCGCCATTCTAATTGTGTTCTTATTTTATACTTCCTCACATCAGTCTTCCCAAGGAGTCAACACTTTGCTCTCTTCTTCCTTCATTCCTGCATTAACAGTCTGGCATGCGAAACAAATGCACAACTTTCACCCCATTGCCGCCACCACTGATTTTACAATTCAACGCAAGCGTCCATGATTGCTAAAGCTCCAGATTGTTTCAGGTTCACATCAAAATTGCTTGAAGCAGATTTTTAATGAGGTAATAAACCATGGCAAACCATAGCAATAGTAACTGTCCTTTCTTCCTTCTATCATTTTCTATCATCCTCTTTCTCCTCTTATTTCCTGTTCCCAATGATGGCTGCTCGCAAAAGGAGGCGAGTTCGCTGCTCAATTTTCGATCAAACCTCACCTTTACTTCCACTGATAACATTCTTAGATCTTGGGTTACCACTAATGATTGTTGCCAGTGGGAAGGGATCACATGTGATGGCAATGGAATGGTTGATGTCATATCTTTGCCTCTCAAAGGTCTCGGAGGTAGAATCTCTAATTCTCTTGCAGGTCTGTCTCACCTAACTCAACTAAATCTCTCATCTAATAGGCTCAACGGCCACCTCCCTATTGAAATTCTCTCGCTTCAGAGTCTTTTCATCTTGGATGTTAGCTTCAACCATCTATCTGGTGAACTATTAACCCCGCCATTAGGTAACTACTCCTTGCAGGTACTTAATCTGTCCAACAATTTCTTCTCCGGTCCCTTCCCCAGTATGGGCAATCTATTTCAATTTCTTAAGGTACTGAATATAAGCAACAACTACTTCTTTGGTCCATTTCCCTCCTCAATTTGTAGCCTGTCACATAAACTCGGGTCCATGGACCTGTCTCACAACGAATTCGAAGGTAATATCCCCCCAGGGCTCGGCAGTTGCTTGTTCCTGACTGAGTTTCAAGCAGGGGTAAATAATCTGATCGGGCAAATCCCAAAAGATCTTTTCGACATGACCTCTCTGCAGCTCCTTTCCTTGCCATTTAATCAGCTCTCAGGGGTGCTTGATGGCGCACTTATGTCCAAACTATTGAATCTAACCCATCTTGACCTTAGTGCCAATCTTCTAAGTGGTGAGTTGCCAGCCTCGCTCAGCTATATGCCATTCCTGGAGCAACTGGTCTTACATGATAATCAGCTTATTGGTGAGCTGCCTCCAGAATTAGCCAACTGTACCAAGCTTAAGACTCTTGATCTCAGGTTCAATAGGTTCAATGGAACTTTGGCTACAGTAAACTTCACCAGCCTCTCCAACCTTAGCATGCTTGATTTAGGGAACAATAACTTCACTGGAGAAATACCGAAAAGTTTGTACACATTGAAGTCCCTCAAAGCATTAAGGCTGGCTAGAAATTCTCTGGAAGGACATATTGCTCCAGCTATATTGGAGCTGCAAGACCTATCCTACCTTTCTCTATCCAGTGATGGTCTAATGAACATCACAACAGCACTTAATATCCTCAAAGATTGCAAGAAACTCACTGCAATCATGCTGGCAAAGAACTTCTTTAAAGAGGCCATACCAGTAGATAATGAGTGGGAGGAGGGGTACTTCCAAAATCTTCAGGTCCTGAGTCTAGCTGGTTGTGAGTTGATCGGCCAAGTACCTCTCTGGTTATCCAACCTCAGCAAACTCTTGGTCCTGGATTTATCTGACAATCACCTGACAGGTCCAATCCCTGCATGGTTGGGCTCCTTGCCAAACCTTTTCTATCTAGACTTGTCAGGGAACCTTCTATCCGGAGAGATTCCGGCAGAAATTACAGGATTACATGCACTGATGATGGATCAATTTGAGTTCCATATTGATCAAGGTTTTCTCGACTTTCCAGTGTTTATCATGCCTGCAAAAGGAGCTAGCCTGCAGTACAATCAGCTGACAGAGCTTCCACCTGCAATAATCCTTCGAAACAACACCCTGCAAGGCACAATACTTCCACAAATTGGCCAGCTGAAGAATCTTCAAGTGTTAGATCTTAGCCACAACTATTTCTCAGGTATCATCCCTATGCAGCTCTGCAATCTCACCAACTTGGAAAAGCTGGACCTTTCCACCAATAATATCAGTGGCATGATACCTTCCTTGTTGAACAACCTACACTTCCTTTCTTCATTCAGTGTGGCCTACAATAATTTAGAGGGGCCAATTCCATCAGGTGGACAATTTGATTTATTTTCTATATCCAGCTATGAAGGAAACAGTAAACTCTGTGGAAAAATGTTGCGCAATTGCTCAAACCAAACAAGAAAAGCATTTCCTTCAGAGAACGAACATATGAACAAGAAAACCATAGTCAGCATGGTATTTGGCATCATTTTTGGAGGAGTTTTCGTCCTTATAATTTCTATTCTCATCACATGTAATAAAATGAAAAGTAAGCAAAGCAGACGCAATGGGACTATGGTAAAGTTCAATATAAGTTCAACAAGCTCAAACCCCAGCCTTCCATGCATTAGTAACATATTTGTCATGATGCCAAATCTGGAAACCTCTTCCACAAAGAACCTTGTTCTTTCTGACATATTGAGGGCTACAAATAACTTCGACCAGGAAAGCATCATTGGTCTCGGGGGCTTTGGGATGGTTTACAAGGCTACACTTTTGGATGGGTCCAAGCTTGCAATTAAGAGATTGTCTGGAGAAAAATGCCTACTGGAAAGACAATTCAGGGCAGAGGTGGAGGCCCTATCTAGTGCACGACACAAGAATCTGGTGTGCCTCCAGGGTTACTGCATGCATGGAAGCTCATGGTTATTAATGTATTCATACATGGAGAATGGCAGCCTTGACTACTGGCTGCATGAGAGGGAAGATGGTGGTTCCGTGCTCAATTGGCCTGCTAGGCTGAAGATTGCACAAGGTGCCAGCCGAGGCCTGTGCTACATTCATGAGACTTGTGAGCCCCACATTGTCCACAGAGATATCAAGTCTAGCAATATTCTCCTTGATAAGAACTTTGAGGCTCATGTAGCAGATTTTGGATTGTCTCGCTTGATCCTTCCTTATGACACACATGTGACAACTGAGCTGGTAGGCACTATTGGCTACATACCCCCAGAGTATGGGCAAGGATGGGTGGCCACTTTGAGAGGGGATATGTATAGCTTTGGTGTTGTCCTCCTGGAGCTCCTCACTAGAAGGCGGCCAGTTGAGCTGTTCAAGTCCAAGGAATCATCACAACTAGTCGTTTGGGTGAACCTGATGAGACATCAGGGAAAACATAGTCAAGTCTTTGATCATCTGCTGAAAGGAAAAGGGTTTGAGGACCAAATGTTGAAGTTTCTTGATGTTGCTTGCATGTGTGTAGATGAAAATCCCCTTGAAAGGCCCACAATTGGGGAAGTAGCAGTTTTGCTAGAAAAAATGGGTGTTGAAATCAAATGCAATAGTGACATTCAATTATCGTAGAAAAAGAAGTGCTAGAAAAGCTTGAGGTGTTTATTCTCTTAGTGGGTATTTGTATACAAAACTATACAAAAAAAGGATAAATAATTAAAAAAACAAGCAAAAGAATTTGCCTTTAGTTATCTGTTGTTTGATAGCTTAGAGATCATTGATCGATGCCAATGAAGCAGCGCATGAGCTTCTTTTTTTTCTTTTTTTTTTGTATATTAATTTGTTGGAGAGATGTTTCCTTATAAGGAATAAATCCGAAAATCTAATCTTCTTCTTATCAATCCCTCTTTGATCTGCCATCCTTTCAAAACTCTCCCTCAAACTGGGTGATAGATTCATTCCAAATTTGCTTGTATTATTATTCACTGCATGTGCATGACTATTAAAGCAGTATGCATGGCATATTATTTAATTATATATTGGTTGTTGGTATGTTTTTGGAATATGCACTCACTTCTCAGCGTGCCCCAACAAATAGCTACAAATTTCTAAATCTTGAACTTCATGGATATCAATTTTTGAAAACTAGCACTTACTAAAAGTTTATTAGCAAAGAGATTGCAAACAAATCAATATGGAAACATCATTATGAACTACCCAAATATAAAGATTGTATTTCCATAAGCACACGCACCCTATCCACGAGGAAATCCCATGCATAATAGTATAAGAAATACAACAAAAATATGAATCTATATGACAAGAATAAAAATAAAGAAGAAGAAACCAGTCTTACTTGGAAAATACTATTTTTTCTTTTCATTCAAAGATAAAAATCAATAACAATTTACATGACAACCACATATAGGAAATACTTCTCTCTATCTTCCAAAAAAAAGTTATGGCGAGCAAAATTTTGTCTTCCAGGCTTTTAAGTTTACACTGATTACGGCCTAACACTTGAGATTCTTCCCCTGAGAAACTTTGGCCAGAAGAAACAAAAGAACTGAGATGATTAGAGCTGCAAGATAGACCCCTAAGCTGAACAAAGAGTAAAGCTTGCCCAAGAAGCATACATACTTCTTAGCAGCAACAGCTGAGAGATTTAAAAATGGTGAAAAGCTTTGGTGATGGGTAATACTAAAATTAAATGCATAAAGAATGATGCTCTCAGCATAATTATCGTAAGGTTAGATTAGCAAATAAATTATGTGTAGAGATTGAAACATGCCCTGATATGTTGTGCGGAAAGTGATACTTACTGTCAACTTCAAACAATTAAGTCTCCACAACATGATAGTTTGCAGAGATTGTATTATCATTGGCTCCATTTAGTTGGTCTGGCTTTTGCACCAAATTGACATGAAAAAGAAGATGAAGTTAAAAGCCATATAATCTATGCACATAAATTTTAATTGGCGATAAATTACCTGGTGGTGTCCCAAGGATAAAAAAACATGCACCAATAACTACATAAGCCAGAAGAAGAACAAAACCCTTTAAATAATGTGAGGACCCATCCTGCAAAGCAAAAAGGAACTGCTTTCAACAATATATATGTCAAAGTCTAATGCATGTGATTAATGCTATGGCCTAGTTGTAGGGATGTTGCTGTGAGTTATGTGTAATTAAAGAATTTTATTGAATTTATTTGTTAAACATTGTAACACTTATCTATACACACATGTTGAATGAAAAAGCAAGTTTTCACATCAAATAATTCTTTATTCTTTATGTTATCAGAGCTAAACCTACCCTGGTCGAGTGAACAGTGAAGAATCGCTGGATAGAGCGCAGGAGCTTCGATCACGGGGTGGAAGAAGAGAGCGAAAGACGAGAAAGACAAGAACTTTGGTGGCATATGATGTCACCAGGGATACATCCACCTTATAGTCATCCAAGGAAATCACTGTTAGTTATGCTCACTCAGCCAAAAGTGCTCTTGATACACATGCTCTTGTCTCTATATCCACCACAAAATTCATCAAAATGGATAGTATATTCTGGTGCATCTCAACATGTGACAGGTGCCACTAATAAGTTCTCTTTCTAAACTCACCTAGCAGTTCTAGAGAGCATTCAAACCGCTGATGATACAAGACAACCTGTGGTTGGTAAGGATATAATGACTTTGTCCAATGTTTTGCATACTCTTTTTTCAGTGAACATTTTATCCATTAGTGTCATTATACTCCAACTAAAATGGGTTGCTCCATTTGATATTCCAAATGCGATCTTTCAAGAGAAGGAGATTGGTCAAAAACTTTGGACTAAAAAATGAGATGGTAAACTCTGGTACTTGGATATAGAGGTGATGAACTCCGTCTTGGCATGCATGGTTGAGAATGTTGGACTAGGAGGATCGGAGAGGAGTATAGAGGATGTATTACTGCTACATCACAGTCGCATGGGGCACTTTCGTTCAGTCTATTGAGTTGTTTGTATCCATCCTTGTATAAAAAGGCAAATAAAGAGAAACGGGTGTGATGCTTGTGAGTTTGGCAAGTTCACTAGGAGTTCTTATGTAAGTTCTGGGAATAGGAGCTCTGATGTGTTTTATTTGATACATTTTGATGTATGTGAACATTGTCCTACTAGTTATATGAATGATTGTCGTTATTTTGTTACATTTATTGATTACTTGTCTCGTGTTACCTAGATATACTTGCTGAAACAGAAGAGTGAGGTGATTGCTTGTTTTAAAGATTTCTACAAGGCAAGCCAGACTCAATATGAGGCGGTTGTGAAGGTACTGAGATATGATAATGGAAGAGAATATATCAACAAAGCATTTGAGGACTACATGTCAGCTCAAGGGATACAAAATCAAACCATATGCGCATACACACCAAAAACACAAATTAGAGTAACAAAGAGAAAGAATCGACATCTTCTAGAGATAGCCTAGAGCGCGATGATGGCAATGAATGTCCAACATCACTTATGGGGGCAAGAAGTGTTGATAGTCGCTTAATTGATTAACGGGATGCCCTCAAGAGTGTTGGAGTGGAAGTCTCCTTGTCAGATTTTGAAAAGAGACAATAATAGGATCCTTCTATTAAAGGTATTTGGATGTGTATGCTTTATGAAAGACAACAAGCCATTTGTAGGGAAGTTGAATTTAGGGTTGTCAAAAAAGCTCGTTATTCGCGAGCAGTTCTTGTTCAGTTCGTCGAGGAGTTCGGTTCGTGTTTGATTCGTTCGTTGATTCGTTCGATAAGCAAAAGAGACGAACACGAACAATTTTTTTTTTTTTTGGTTTGTAAACGAACCAAACACGAACAATCATTTGTTCGATCGTGTTTGAATCGTTATTGCTCGAAATATAAAATAATCTAAAATAATTATATATAAAAAATTTATCATATTTTAAAAAAAATTATATACTCTAAAAATTTATCATATTTTAAAAAATTAAATCCTATAAATTATACTGATTTTTAGGTTCCCTCTTAGCTTATATTAAATTCTATAATTTTGTATTTATCTTCATGTTCGTCTCTTAGCTTAAATTTTTTTATATTTCTTTTAGATTTATTTAGTTTTTTTAGTGAAACCTAGTTTTTGGGGAGTGAAATCTCGCATATTTCCTTTAGATCTATATTTCCTCTAGATCTGATTTTTTTATGGATGAAATATAATATTATGGTTTTATTGTGAGTTGTGCTTTGATTATTTTGCATTTGTGTTGTGATTCATACAGGTTTAAGCATTAATTTCTTATAGGTTTAAGCTTTTGAAAGATTTCGAATAATTCGAACATTTGGAACATTTCAAATATATTTTAAACAAATCAAATTGAACACGAACAGTAATTTCACGAAAAATTTCAAACACGAGCCTATTTCAAACACTCGTAATTTCAAACGAATTGAACACAAATACGAGCTCTGTTCGTTCGTGTTCAGTTCGTTTACACCCCTAGTTGGATCCCAGAGTTGTAAAATGTGTGTTTGCGGGTTACGATGCTGCTCAGAAATGTTATGTCTATTGAAGTCGATTGAGAAGAGGCTCTTTGTGAGTATGAATGTGTTATTCAAAGAGTTTCAACTTTACTATACTCTAGAGGTGAATTCATCATTTAGTGACTCAACGGACACTGAACATATAAGGCAAGAGAGCGAGTAGTTGTGGTGACCTGGAGGTGGTGTGATTCAGATTGAAGGTGAGCTAAGGGTGTATACATAGAAGAAGAAGCAAATTGAGAGGACAGAGTCTGCAGTGCTAAGAAGCCCCTTGTCCCGGTCTTCCCAAACTCTCAAGACACCTACACCATCTATATTTGATTCAAAACTCCCAAGTGATATTATTTCTCCTTTTTCCACACCTACCCTCAAACGTTCAGGGTAACCTCCCGCAGCAATGCGAGACATTCTCCTGATCTTTTTGGATAGAACCTTGATACTCCCAAGTGATATTATTTCTCCTTTTTCCACACCCACCCTCAAACGTTCAGGGTAACCTCCCACAGCAATGCGAGACATTCTCCTGATCTTTTTGGGTAGAACCTTGACATTGCAAACTTTATTTCTTATTCTAAAATCTTGTTCTTGCATGGAGCATTCATTACATCATTGGACTCTATCTCTATACCAAAGTGTTGGCAAGTTGTTGAAGAGGATCTCAAGTCGAAAGCAACAATGCATGAAGAGCTTAGAGCCTTGTTGGATCGTCTGCCATCAGCACAATTTGCCCAGTCAATATCACAACCTACTGAACCTCTTGATTCAGTACATCCCAAATAGTGGGCAAGGTGTGCATGCTCAGGAAGTCACTGTAAGACTTGAAGCAGTCTCGTCAAGCCTAGTTTGACAAGTTTAGAATGGAGATAGTTGGCATGAGATATCAGCAGATCAATGCAGACCACATGGTACTCTTTTAACAAACATAAAAGTCACACTACCATACTTGTTGTGTATGTGGATGACATAATTATCACTAGTGACTATGAGGTAGAGATTGCTCAACTGAAGGGAAGATTGAGGAAGCAATTTAAGGTAAAGGATCTGGGATAGCTAAGGCACTTTCTTGAGATTGAGTTATCCCATGGACCTGAGAGGATGGTCCTATCCCAGAGAAAGCATGTACTGAATCTTCCACGCAGACAGATATACGGGAGTGCAAACCTATCGTCACTCCAGTTGATTAGAAGATCAAACTCAATACAGAGGCAAATGATTCAGTTGATCATGAGAAGTATCAAATATTGGTGGGCCACCTAATCTAAGTGTGGTGGGTCGCTACATGCATGATCCAAGGATATTGATGCAGCTTATCATTTGAGATATCTAAAGAGTGCACCAGGGAAAGAGTTGATATTCAGGAAGAATGAGCATGTAAATATTGAGGAATTTTGTGATTCTGATTAGGCAAGTTGTGTTGATGACAGACGATCCACATCAGGATACTGGATGTTTGTAGGTGGCCACTTGGTCTCGTTGAAGAGCAAGAAACAGTCAATTATAATAAGATCAACAGCAGATATAGGAGTTGTTGAGATGATGTGGTTGAAAGCCTTGTTGGTTGAACTCAAAGTGGATCAGAGAACTCAAATGAAGTTGTGGTGTGAAAAGTCGACAATTAGCATTGCTAACAACACGGTGCAAAACGATAGAACTAAACATGTGGAAATTGATAAATTCTTCATCAAGGAGAAGTTGAATAATGGATAAATGGAACTAAGTCATGTACCTAATGTAGAGAAGATAGTCGAATGACTCACTAAAGGAATTATTTCAGTGGAGTTAGCTAGATTTTGTGACAAAATGGGCTTAGTGAATAACTTTCGCCTATCTTGAGGGTGAGTGTTGTGAGTTATGTGTAATTAGAGGGTTTTATTGGGTTGTGTAATAAGAGGATTTTATTGGGTTTATTTGTTAAACATTGTAAAAACTATTCAAACTTATATGTTGAATGAAATATCAAGTTTTCACATGAAATCATTCTTTAATGCTAGAAAAGAACAAATCCCTTTAAACAATGTGAAGACCCATCCTTCAAAGCAAAAAGGAACTGCTTTCAACAAGAAATATATCCATGTCTAATGCAAGCAATTAATGCTATGGCCGAGTTGTAGGGAAGTTTTTCCTCCTCGCGACTATTCCAAATTCTAGAGTACTAAATTGCACTAATGTCACTACTATTTGAATAGAACATTTTTATCAGAGTAATCATGCTTTTTTTTGTTGTCTCGTAAGTTTGCATGATGAGGTTTGTTATAACAAAGGTTAAATTCGACGTGAAGAACTTGTCAACAACTTTTAAGGCCCTTACCAACTATATTATAATTAGAATCATCCTGGCAAATAACAATAAGTTGTTTCTATCTTAAAACTTGTCCGCCCTATGGATTATATCATGAATGCTAAATATGAGGCTTTTACATGAAAATAATATGCAATAAAGCTCGAAAGAAAATGAGAAGTATGGTTTTCATTTTAAAAAATTACTTAGATGCCAATGAGAAAATAAGAGAGAACATTTATACATACATAGCACACTATTCTTATGTATTTACACATCTCAGACCCAAACTTTCATATTTACACACATTGCACTCACTTTTTAATATCACATCAAAAATAGCACTATTACTATTTTTTAAAAGTGACAACTTTTTTATGCATAGGTTTAAGCACCAAAGTGCAATGCGTGTAAATATGAAAGTTTAGGAGTGAGATTATATAAATACATAAGAATTGATTACTAGATGTGTGAATTTCTCCCAAAAAAAGACAAACAAAAAGAAGGGAATACCCTTCTGCATTGATAAATGTTACCTGTAAAGCAAATGATGTTATCAAAATTGAGAGTACCAGAGCACCGGTCTCCAATGATTTAAAATCAAGATCCATTGGAATGCCCATCACCCACGCCACCATCACACTTAATGGAACCTGCATCATATATAGAAAGCAGTCTCACTTGCCATAATTGACAAGATAAAACAGACAATGGCATCCTTTTTCAAGCCTCACCACAAACATGGAAATCTGTGTTGCTGAACCCAATGACACTCCCAAAGTTATATCCTAGGAAAAACTCGTATTCAATCTCGCTATGTTCGATTTTTATTGAAGTAAAACCAGGTGAGAAGCTTTAGGAGAGTTCAGATGCCTACTTACCAGCTTATTCTTTAAAGCAAAAATGACAGCACCGGCGTGCTCTGCCGCATTTCCCACGATTGGCAGCAATATGATGCTAAGGAAACTAATGGAGATGCCCCATGAATCTGATGCAGCCTATACAAGGAGATTAATATTGGTTAAGCAGTATTCTTACATCTTGGTTAAATAATATTCTTCACTTTAGATAAAAAAAAACAATCAGAAAAATCCATTAGTATAGACAAGAAAAATTTGATGTTATGCATATAAATGTGACATTTATATGCATAACATCAAATTTTTCTTGTCTATACTAATGGATTTTTCTGATTGTTTTTTTTTATCTAAAGTGAAGAATATTATTTAACCAAGATGTAAGAATACTGCTTAACCAATATTAATCTCCTTGTATAGGCTGCATCAGATTCATGGGGCATCTCCATTAGTTTCCTTAGCATCATATTGCTGCCAATCGTGGGAAATGCGGCAGAGCACGCCGGTGCTGTCCTTTTT